CCGCGGGCACACCGTCTACGCCAACTGCTTTCCTCACTTTGCAGTTAATCTATGTCTCCAACAGTTCTTTTCGTGTAGCTAAATTATGCAAATGGATCTGTATGTTGGTGGCCTAAATCAACATGACCTGGTCAGTTCAGTAGTGTTGAAAAGTCATGTTTCCAAGCCGAAAGAATTTCATCGGGATTGTTACGTTGTTCGCGCGTTTATTTACGATCTATTAGATGAGGACATTGAACCGTCCGTTCACAAATTTCCTTCCGTCCGTGGATATGCTTACGACTGGAACTCTTCACCTCGTTTTGTTCATAATTCACTTTTGTTTTCCGGAGACATTTTAGCAGCTTGCTCCTGCTACTTTCGAGTTTCTTCTCGGCCTCTGTGTGCAGTGGATCTTGGAGTATCTTGAAGAACGCCAAACTTAGAATCAGGGTGAATATCAATGAGTGGTTGTCACCAGACTAATCTTACCTCTGTTCTTGCCTTAGTTTAATTGTATCTACGGCGGTCGCCTGAATGTTGTGTTCGCACTCGGGCCTGCTGGCTTTTAGATGTGTTTTAGAGTTGATTATCCGCCGGCCTTTGCATCAGGGCTTCGCAAAACTTTGACGCAATCTCCGTTCTTTTAGCCTTAGGTCTAACTTGCATGAGTTTCCTACTAGTCCACGACGTGGCGGTTTTCCTGGTGCAGCGCACGTATCATAGTTATTCGTATGGCATCGATTTTTTATCAGTAGACTGCGAGGATTTGCCGCGCAATGAAGGTCGATTAGTTGCCCTTACCACTTCTTGAATGACCAAATATAAAAAAAGCAATATCAGCCCCATATTCGATCACGTGTTTGTTACCGAGAGTTTGAGTGCTGTGCACATCGCCAGTAGTTCTCTACTGTTGTTGCCCGTTGGTCCGATTCCATATAAACACAGTATCTTTCAGGTTCTCCAGTCCTTGCCAACTCGAGTAGTGAAACCATCCGACAGATATGCAGTAATTTGAGGGTGCATATCTGATCACTTGTAACAGTTTATCATTGAAATATCCCTTTCCTCGTTGTTGGTGAATATACGCTGATGAATGTGACGGACTTTGCCCTCGATACCCTGAATGGGATACTCTTCATTCTGTAGTTAACGTAGTTTTTTGCATCCAGTATTGTCTGATTCATGTTATCTGCGTTCGCGAATCCAACATGTCGGCTCTTGCGTTGTTCTTATGCCACAGTTGTAACTGGAGCCAGCCTACCGAAGCTTCCTTTGATCAACCAACCTGGTCTCACTGATTGCCCTGAGGCCCATCCTATATCATTTACGTTCTTTTGTAACGAGAACAAATCACCATTCAGGCGTGTAATCGTCGTTATACAGGAGAGTTCACACGCTTCAGAATACCAGTCTTCCTCACAGTCCTTCGCATGTGCGCGGGGGGATCTTAACTTTCGAGTCTGGGAATACGGGTTCATTTTGGTTGCCCTGCCATTAGTCTCTGACTCTCTAGAATCGACCTTTTGTACCCCATCCTTTCTTGGGGACTGACAGTAGCTGAGAAACAGCTTGCAGTCCTTACTCCTGTTCCAGCAAACAATACGACTTCGTCTCCTATATCACCTCATAATAGCATCATTTCATCATTGTCAGCTGTAGTAACCGCGTACTCGTCGTACACTGGTTGTAGCTGCCGCAGTTTCGTTCACCGATGATTTGGGGGTGAGGGGTAGGTAGCTGCGCATTGCAGGCGGGAGCTGGTAAATTGGTGCATAAATCCAGCACTGTCAGTGGGCTGTCAAGTTAGGGGGGTCTGAAAAGCTATGCATTGAAGGCAATAGCTTGGAGCCATTGATCCGTCTCTGGGTCCCCATCCAGGAAGACAGCAATGACCAGCGCAGCTGAGTTTGCTGGTAATGGCTTTTATACTTCGCTGCGCTGC